AGCAGACGATGCTACAGCAGCAACAGACGATGTTACAGCAGCAGCAGACGATGCTACAGCAGCAGCAGCAGCAGACGATGCTACAGCAGCAGCAGACGATGCTACAGCAGCAACAGACGATGCTACAGCAGCAACAGACGATGTACAGCAGCAGCAGACGATGCTACAGCAGCAGCAGCAGCAGACGATGCTACAGCAGCAGCAGACGATGCTACAGCAGCAACAGACGATGCTACAGCAGCAACAGATGATGTTACAGCAGCAGCAGACGATGCTACAGCAGCAGCAGCAGCAGACGATGCTACAGCAGCAGCAGACGATGCTACAACAGCAACAGACGATGTTACAGCAGCAGCAGACGATGCTACAGCAGCAGCAGCAGCTGACAGTGCTACAGCAGCAGCAGACGATGCTACAGCAGCAGCAGACGATGCTACAGCAGCAGCAGACGATGCTACAGCAGCAGCAGACGATGCTACAGCAGCAGCAGCAGCTGACAGTGCAACAGCAGCAGCAGCTGACAGTGCAGCAGCAGCAGCAGCTGTACCACCAATAGTAGCGATGGTTGATTGGGCTTTATTATAGAACCTGGCCAGCTCGGAGACATGCACTCCACTTTCATACTTATCAATGATCTTTTTCTTCATCTCTATTGTAATTCTCACCCTTATTGCTGTAGGGTTGGCACTAGAAGCTTTCTTGGGGCCCATGGTCACTTATTTTCCAGAAAAAGCACCGAAAACACTGTAATAATACGAAATATTCCGATTGTATGCTTGGATGTTACCGCGGAGGCTGGCTGGTAAACAATGCCACTGGCGGCACATGTGAGGCTGGCTGAGGGCGCACATTGGACGCGTCTCGGACGAAAATCGGTGAGCGGGTTTTTAAGCGGTATGCGAGGCAAAATTTTTGCGATTAAAGCAAGCGGTATGCGGATTAATCGTTATGTGATGCCAACGGTATGTGGGGGTCCACTGTATTACGTTAATATAGACATTTCCATTAATCCACCTAAGACATTTTTTTCAAAATTATGTAATAAACACACTACATAACATATAAACATGATACATACACCCATAGTATAAAAATTGACATAAATTTGAGATTTGTTTACCATGCGGTTTGTATGAGTGTCAGAAGAATTACGTTTTCTCTAGTCAAACACCAGTTACTTAACTGTAGAAAAATATTTCTTTTGTATGCCTTCACTCTATAGCTATTCATGACCTTTGTGGGTTTAGCACTTCTTTTTTATTATGATTCTATTAATAATAATAATAATACGTAATACAGTGGACCCTCGAGTTTTGGCAGCATCGAGTTTTGTGAAATTTGACCTTCGGCAAGTTTTTCTGGAAAAATTTGGCCTCGAGTTTTGTGATTAAACTCGTGTTTCGGCGACCGTCCGGTACCAGTCCACCCATCACCGCGCACACCAAGCCAGTCTCCCACGCCATTCATGCTCAGTGTGCCATTGTTTACCAACACGTGACAATCACCCCGCGGGTTCATGCATAATAATCCATTGTTTTTTGTGATTACAACTGCTAAATGAGTCACCATGGGCCCAAGGAAAGCTAGTGCAAGCCCTTTGGTAAATAAAGTGAGGAACACTATCGAATTCAAGAAGGAAATCGTTGAAAAATATGAGAGTGCAGTGCGTGTTACAGAGCTTGCCAGGATGTATGGCAAACCCCATTCAACCATCACTTCGATCGTGGCGAAAGGAAAGAAAATGAAGTGTGCTGTTGTTGCAAAAGGAGTGGATATGCTGACAAAAGGGAGATCACACATCCTCGAAGAAGTGGAGAGGTTATTGTTGGTGTGGATTACCGAAAAATAGTTAGCAGGAGATAGTGTTATGCAGTCGATAATATGTGAAAAGGCAAGGCAGTTGCATCATGATCTTGTAAAGAAAATACCTGCAACAAGTGGTGATGCTTGTGATTTTATGCTTGTGATTTTAAGGCCAGCAAAGGTTGGTTTGAGAGATTTAAGAAGCGTAGTGGCATTCACAGTGTGATAAGGCCTGGTGATGCTGCCAGTTCTGACAAAATTGCAGCTGAGAAGTTTGTACAGGAGTTCAAGGAGTGCTTAGACACAGGAGAATTCAAACCCTAACAAGTGTTTAATTGTGACGAAACTGGCCTCTTTTGGAAGAAAATGCCAAAGAGGACCTACATCACGCAGGAGGAAGCCGCAGGAGGAGGCTTACTCTCATGTATTGTAGTAATGATGGTGGGGATTTTAAAGTGAAGCCTTTACTGGTGTATCACTCTGAAAATCCCAGTGTTCAAGAAATACAGTGTCGCCAAGAGTAATTTGTGTGCGATGTGGAAGGCTAACAGTAAGGCATGGGTCATAAGGGATATTTTCCTAGACTGGTTTAATGAAGTGTTTGGCCCCAGTGTGAAGAAATACCTCCTGGAAAATAAACTGTCTCTCAAGTGCCTCCTGGTAATGGACAATGCTCCTGCTCATCCTCCAGACTTGGAAGAGCAAATAGTGGAGGAGTTTAGTTTCATCATGGTGAAGTTCTTGCCCCCTAATACAACTCCTCTCCTCCATCCCATGGACCAGCAGGTCATTTCTAACTTCAAGAAACTCTACATAAAAGCAGTGTTTCAAAAGTGCTTTGAAGTGACCTCAGATACTGAATTGACCCTAAAAGAGTTCTGAAAAGATCACTTTAATATCCTCCATTGCATAAACCTTATTGGTAAGTCTTGGGAGGGAGTGACTTCCAGGACTTTGAACTCTGCTTGGAGAAATTTGAGGCCAGATTGTGTAGAAGAGAGGGATTTTGAAGATTTTGTGGCTGACCCTAAGGAGCCTATGCCAGTTGTGGAAACTATTGTGACATTGGGGATGTACCTGGGGTTGGAGGTGAGTGGTGAGGATGTGGAAGAGTTGGTGGAGGACCACAGGGAAGAGCTAACCACTGAAGAGCTGCAAGAGCTTCATCTGCAACAGCAAGAGATCACAGCTCAGGAAGCTGCTGCAGAGGAGGAGAAAGAGAGATGAAGGAAGGTGCCTTCTTCAAAGATTAAGGACATTTGTGCAAAGTGGACTGAAGTGCAAACATTTATGGATGAACTTCACCCTAACAAAGCTGTTGCAGGCCGTATTGGCAACATGTACAATGACAGTGTTGTGTCCCACTTCAGACAGATCTTAAAGAAATGCCAGAAACAGAGGTCTCTGGACAGATATTTTGTGTGACAGGGGTCCAGTGACTCAAGTTGTTCCCAGTGGCATTAAAAGAAGAAGGGAAGTAACCCCAGATAAGGACTTCATACCTGAAATCCTAATGGAAGGAGATTCTCCTTCCAAAAAATAGTGTACACCTTCCTCCTATCCCCTCCTCCCGTCTTCCATCCATGCAGAAATCTTCAGTAAAGGTAAGTGTAATGTTATTATTATTTTTTAAATGCATGTACTTGATTTCTGATTGTTTTCATTATGTAAATCTTTATTTAATTTGAAAAAATATTTTATTTTAATATTTTTGGGTGTATGGAACAGATTAATTTTATTTCCATTACTTCTCATGGGGAAAATGGTTTCGAGTTTCGTGAATTTCAACATTAGGCAGGCGCTCTGGAATGGATTAATCACGAAACTTGAAGGTCCACTGTAATAATAATAATATCATTCACTCTAAAAATGGTGTGTTGCATGAGAATGGGAGTGTTGCTGTTTATTTATTCTGCACTAACTTGTCAGAGCATCATTCCTTCTAAAAATGATGTTATATGAAAATGGAAGTGTTGGTCTTTATTTATTCTACTGTACCGCTGTGGAGACAACTTGTACACAATGTAAGGTGTTTGTCTGAATGCGTATGAACCATTACCAGGCTCTTCGTCCATTTGTTTACATTGTACTCTGCGTGGGTGGAGTGGCCAGGTGGGCTATCTTACCTCCCACACCTGACTTTTTACAAATAAATATTTTTCACCTCTAACCCTACATTAAGACCATTAAGACTACAGATATTTTAAGGGAGTTTTAAGCATCGTAGTATATTACGTGTGGGTGGGGTGGCTAGAAGGGCTACCATACCTACCCACACCCGAATTCTTACAATAAATACTACTCACCTTTTGCCCTACATTACGACTACAAATATTTTGAGGTAAATAATGAGTGTACTGTGTGTGTATTATACTTTTTGTTTTTTATTGCCTAGTTCTATTGCTAACTTAATATATGTTAGTGTAAACTTGTTACGTATCTGGCATTTATATGCATTTACAAGTGGAAAAAATGGCGTTCTGCCTTCCGGCGATGTCTGCTTTGCAGTGGTAGCCCGGAACCTAACCTTCCATATAAGTGGGGCACTACTGTACACAGTACACTCATTTCTAATTTTTACAATAGTATTGTAGATAGAAATATACAGAGGTACCTCGAGTTACGAACTTAATTCCAGAAGGCTGTTCGAGTGCCGATACCAAATGAATTTGTTTTCATAAGGAATAATGTAAATTAGATTAGTACATTTCAGACCTCCAAAAATACACTTACAAAAGCACTTACAAAAATACACTTACATAATTGTTTAAGTTGGGAGCTGTTCGAAACTCAAGTTACCACTCTAGTTTAATATGGAGATATATATATAGTTAGAGGCTTGGATATCCAACAGGTTTGTGAAAGTGTGTTAGATAGGAGTGAGTGGAAGTAAGTGGTTTTTATGATGCTGTGTTGTTTGGGCATGAACAAGGTAACATTTATGAAGGGATTCAGGGAAACCGGTTAGCTGGACTTAAGAGTCCAGGTGGTGGGCAGTACCACCTGAATGAGGGGTGGGGATATTGCAGTTTGGAAGAGCATCTGAACTGTAGTATCAGCTGACCTCTGGCAAGACAGTGATGGAGTGAGTGATGGGGGAAGTTTTTTTTGGGGGGTCATCCTACCTTGGTGGGAGACAGCCAGTGTGTTAAAAAAAATTACAGCACAGTACTTTACAGTAATTTATTGTTCATTTCAGAAAGTAACAAATTAAAGATGGGGCGAAAAATTCTAAAAAAGAAACACCGAGGAGTCAAAGATCCATACAAGCAGCAAGCAGAGCGTCTTAATAAGTAAGTTTTCATGTTTTCATTAATGACATTAATTTCAACTTTGTAAAACCTTTGCATATAGGAGGAAGAAATGGGACATGATAATCACATATAAAGTTATAAAAGGATATAAAAGATTAGAAAGAAAATTATTTTTCTTACCAGCAACAAGACTAAGAAGAGACCATAGTTGTAAATTGAGGAAAAAGTGGACTCAGAGGGATACTACTATTGCAACTAATGGAATTTTTAAAAAATATGATGCATAAATTATTGATGATAGGACACCACAAGCATAACTCTGTTCCTGTAGCTACAAATAGATAATTACAGCACTTACCAATGCTGTTTATCTCCAGGGATTTTTTGGGGGGCTAATTTCACCCAAGCCATACCAGTGTTGTCTGAGGTGACAATAACAATGGCTACTCCTACATCTTTACAGTTCTGTGCCCCTACAGCTGCTCCTATTATGGCCTAACTGCTTATACTGCTGCACTGACTCACATGGAACCAGTAACGACCAACATAAAGCTGTTAAAGATGTAAAAAGCTGACCAAACACGACTAATAGAGGACTGCCCGGCATACCAAACACCAGCCTGCTGCCAGACGACATCCCAGCCAAGCAACAGTTATCACTACAATAACTCCATAACAGCTCCACTAGTGTGCTCATGGGATACAAGAATAGAAAAAGCAACACCAAGACAGACACGAAACCTCCTAGAAAACTGTTACCCATAACGTCTGCCCTGAAAGACGCCAGCGAATCTTCCACCCCTCTCACCCCCGCCCAGACCAACACAACAACAACAGTGGCAGACGACTCCAAAACCTTCTCTGAATTCTCTCAACATTCATCCTCATCCATGACTCGCACTCAAGCTGACTTGTCTACAACTACAGATAACACCCGAGACCTCTTCACCGCAAACGGCAACATAGATTACAACTCGTCAACACCTAAAGGTATAGTCCAGGAATTCAGTCCTCAACAACGACCCAATTCCATTGATAAAATTCTACAGGAAAATAGTATGCCAAGAGGACAAAATGAAACCTATGAATAACTCATTATGGACCTGGAGTGCTGACTACATACCCAAAACACAAGAATTAAAGACCTTGAATATCTTACGACGCAAAACTCAAAGATTAGTGAACTAGAAAACAAACTGACATCATTAATAAATTCGTCTAAAGAACAAGCAAACCTGCATTGAACTGTAGACACACATGCTAAACAAATAAATGTTCTCGCCACCAAGCTGTCAGAAGCTACACAAGACTGGAAGTTAAACATGGAATCCCAGTGGAATGCATGCTTCCAGTATCAAAGGGATATGATTGAACAAGACAAGTTCTGTAGACTCTGTCATTTTAACCAGCTCTACCTTACCACCAGATACAAACAATGAGAATTGCACCATCAAAGCACTCCAACTAATAAAAGATGAGATAAAAGTTAACATTAAAACCAGCGATATCAAGGAGGCCCAACTGCTAGGCAAGCCGGGTCAACAACAAAGTGTTAGGTTAAAATTCAATTTCATCAATGTAAAAAATGATGTATTAAGTTCCTCCATCAAGAAACGGAGTAATGTGTATATAAATGAGTGCCTAACTAAAAAATGTCAGAACCTATTATACAGACTTCGAAAACTTAAGTGTGATAATGCATCAATAAAACAGTGCTTTACTTGTGATGGCATAATCGTGGTAAAATTATTAGACACGGGTCGTAGGTTTGAAATAACAAATGATCAAGAACTAGCATGTTTCCTCTCATTGACTGGTTTGACTGAACCTTGTTAAGTCATATCTCAACACATTATCAACCATGTTCAGTGCTGTAGTTTAGTAGAATTTACCCTTATTCTAATCCATATTTTCATGACTGTTAGTGAATAATGGTAATTAATTCCCAGCTACTTAAGACACCTAAGGTGCTATTCAAAGTGCTAATCCAGGTACTTAAGTGTTTTATTCTCTGTCTTATTTGATACTTGAAACCATAACTTTTAACTTTGAAATAATCAAGGTGCTAAAGTGTTTTATTTTAATTTTCAGTAGCTCCATTATTTTTTAGATTTAAATTAACTATCTTAGTTCATAAGTTCATAATTGGTAGTGGTTTAACATCATTGCTTTGGTCTTTTGTTCTTTAATAATTTTATCGGCTATTTCTCTACATACCCCTTATGAATGTAAGTATCGATCCTGATATCAACCTCTTGTTGAACAGCACATGTAGTCCAAACAGTAATTGCCATTACTACACTGCTAGTCAGGCTAATACTCTTCTCAGTGTCAGGAAGAACATTAGTCTTCAACTACAATGTTAGATCATTGAGTAAATACTGTGATGATCTCATTGCACTACTTAAGTCTCTAAATGCTACTATAACTTTCATTATACTTACTGAAACCTGGCTCAGACAAGATCTGACAGACATATTTACCATACCTGGTTACACAGCCATACATAACTGTAGGCCCGACCAATCAGGAGGAGGCACTGCCATCTATTACTCTGATGAACTAGAATGTGTGAAATCAACTAATGTACGGGACGAAAATGGTGAATATATAATAGCTAAATTCACATCAAGAACACTTGAGAAACCTATAGCAGTTGGTGCAGTCTACAGACTACCATACTCAAACACTTACACTTTTAGCAATAACCTTAGAAACATGATAATTGAGTCAGAGTTGAATAAACACCATCTGATACTAGCAAGAGATTTCAACATCAACCTTATCCAAGCAACTGACCCTCCAGTAGTTGATTTCACAAATACTATGAACAACAGCTTATTGCTACCCACTATAACAACGCCAACAAGAATCTCTGACGCTAGTGCCTCGTTACTGGACCATATCTGGACCAACATAATATCCCCACTACAAGCGGGTATAATCACAGATAACACCACAGACCACTATCCTACCTTTCTCATAACCAACTTATCTAAACTGCCTCAAGAAACAAGAAGGATCTCATTTCGCCTGCATGATGAGACATCGATGAACAACTTAAAACTAGCTCTAGGTGTCATTGATTGGCAGAGAGAGCTAGATGACAGTAATAATATTGATAAAGATATCAAAAATTTTTTACATAAAACCCTAAACCTCTACAACAAACATTGCCCAATCAAAACGAAACAGATAACAGAAAAGAGGCTAAACAGCCCATGGCTAACTAGAAGTATCCTCAAATCTATTAATAAAAAACACCAAATTGAAAAGCAGTTCAGATTAGGCTTAATTATTAAAGAATTTACTAAAAGATACAAATCAATACTAACAAAACTAATACGAAAATCAAAGCAAATGTATTACGAAAATAGATTTAGTGAAATGAAAGGTGACATGAAAAGTACCTGGCAAACCCTCTCCAAAATTTTGGGCTCAAGGAAACTGACTGGAAATAGAGAGATAGACTTAACTAAAGCAGATGAACCTCACATGCAACCTATAGACACGGCCGACAAGTTTAATCTCTTCTTTACTGTAGGATCAAAGCTAGCGAGTCAGATTCCTAGCTCAGATACCCATCCGAGTGAGTACTTCACTGGCAACTATCCAAATACTCTATTTCTAGCTCCAACTAATCTCATTGAAGTCTCACTCATCATTAAATCATTAAAAAACAAATCAGGTGATTTAGATAACTTGCCACCATTCATATATAAAAAAGCTGCACCAGAACTGTCGCCCATTATTGCAACAATGTTTAACAAATCTATAGCTTCCTCAACCTTTCCATCCATACTCAAGACAGCAAGGGTCACCCTGATCCACAAAGGTGGAGATCCAACTGATTTGAACAATTACAGACCCATATCAAACTTGCCCTTACTATCCAAGATATTTGAAAAAAAATACACAAGCGACTTTATTCCTACCTTACATCCAACAACATACTTAACCCATGCCAATTTGGATTTAGACCAAAAAAAAAGCACGAATGATGATGCTTTTATACAAATGCTTGACCTAATGTACACAACTCTCGATAAGAATGAATATCCCCTGGGGCTCTTTATCGACCTAAGAAAAGTGTTTGACACAGTTGACCACAATCTCTTGCACCTCAAACTGAATCATTACGGCATAAGAGGACATTCTCTTGACTACCTAAAATCCTATCTTAACGACAGACACAGTATGTACATGCAAATGGAGCCAGCTCCGCTATCCAACGTGTAGCTGTAGGAGTACCCCAAGGTAGTGTCCTAGGCCCACTCCTCTTTCTCATCTACATCAATGATCTCCCCAATGCATCCCAACTCCTTACACCAGTTCTATTCGCAGATGACACTACATATGTCTACTCCCATTCAGACCCAGCTGTGCTTGAAAACACTGTAAACAATGAACTGCTAAAGATATATGCTTGGATGATGACCAACAAACTCACACTCAATATAGACAAAACTTACTTCATGCTGTTTGGGAACAGAGCCTCAAATATTCAACTCAACATACTGTTAAATGGTTCCCCTATATCAAGACACATGGAGGGCAAATTTCTAGGTCTTCTCCTTAACTGTAATGTTAAATTTCAGTCCCATACCCATCACATAGCCAAGAAAATTTCCAAATCAGTAGGAATCCTTTCCAATATACGCTACAATGTACCACAAACGACTCTCCTTACCCTGTTCCACTCTCTAATATATCCTTACCTCACCTATGGTATCTGTGCCTGGGGCTCAACCACAGCCAACCACCTTAGACCCTTAATAATCCAACAAAAAAGCTGCTGTGCAAGTAATAACCAGCTCTTGTGCTAGACAGTACACCCCACCACTTTTCAAAAGACTCAACTTGCTAAATATACAAGACATACACTCTTATTATTGTGCCTACTACATATACAGAACTTTAAACTCCACTGTAAACCTTCCCCTAAAACTACTACTCGACAGTTACAACAGAATGCACAGTCACAATACAAGGCATAAGGCTCTTTTCAACATACCTCGAGTAAGACACTCACTATGCAA